TTTTTTCCATGTCAAAAAACGTAATTTGAATTTAATAATTAATATTATGTTGTTTACATAACACCACACTTTTTTTTTATAAAAATACAATGAAAAGATGATTATCCATGAATGATTGAGTGTCTTTTTTTTTCTTTTTTTTTTCTTTTTTTAACAGGGAAAATTGACAGGGAAAGGGGAATAGGACTTGCTATTTGAACCTGTGCTATTATATTGACTACACCCATTCAAAGGGAATACTAGGCCACCACGGTTGTACGATTGAGTGTCTTTTCGGACGAAGAATACCACGAAATATAATTAATTACCCAAGAAAAAAATGTTGTGTTCATTGTGCACCCAAAAGGCCCTATTAAATGTCACAAAAGTTGACTTAGTCTTCCTATTTAAAGGTTAAAAATAGGTTGCAGAAGACTCTTGACTTGGAAACCATTATTATCTTTTTTTTTTTTTTAATGAACTATCCAGAAGATCACTAAGTCATCAATTATTCTAGATTCGAGTTAGTAAGATTTGACAGGTGACAAAATTTTTTTTCATAAATTTTAATGAAACTACATTATCAAAACTTAAAATTAAGATTTCTAATTAAATTAGAAGAATTTCTATTAACTTATCCACCTACTCATGTATGAAAATCATTTTTATCGCATTTATTGAGTATCTTTGTCTTATTAAATGAAAAATACCTATTTAGTTCCTCAACTTCTAAATTTATATTAAATTTATCTTTTAATTTAAAAAATATTAAAATTATCTCTAAATTTTAATTTTTAATATTAAAATAATTTTCAAGTTTTAAAAATAATACAAATTTAACCCTTATTATTTAAAAATAAATACCAACTTAATCTTTAAACTTTAATTATAAATGCTAATTTGATTTTTTAATTTTAATTATATATTAATTTGATTTGTAAATAAAAATATATCATAATGATAAATATGACTATTTTAATTTTACATGTCATTAGTATTTAAAAAAATTTAATGCCAAAATAATAAGTTACTTAATACTTTTATAAATAAAAAAATTTAGCATTAAAAATTAAAATTTAAAAACAATTTTAATACTTTTTAAAATTGAAAAACAATTTCAGTACAAATCTAAAAGTTGAGTATATTAACCCTTTTTTTTTCCCCTTTCCTTCTCATTTTCTTTTGAACAAAATGATTTCCCATTTTTCCTTTTCTAGTCCTGAAAAACATAATAAGTCGTTCTCATATGACAGTATGAATTACATGAGAATCCACTAAAAAATAAGCATGAAACAATCAGATCGGGAGGCATATCATCAATGTTGAAATTTGACTTCTTTGTGTTCTTTGCCAAGTTACTAAACATACGATTTAATAGTCAAAATTCAAAATGCAGTCTAAATGAGATAGATCGTCTCAAATTATGTAACGCAATGCGTTCAAGTTTGCCGAGAGTGAAGCAAGCAGTTAGCAGGGTAACTAGTGCTATGCTAAAACTCAACTTTGTATCATACAAGGAAATATCGTTTCTGCTGTTTGGAAAAACAAAAACACATAAAACTATTCTATCACATACTAGAGACAAGAAACTTGTTTCTGTTATATCATTTGCTGATGAAGATCGGCAGCCTGCTGAGCCAACTCCACCATCATTGCCTCGTCGAAGAACTTGTTGATGCTCACATCTTCACTCATGCCCTGGAAATGTCATTAGAAAACACAACACATCAGTGCTTATAAATCACATTTCAACATTTGGTAGAGACATGTACATATATAGAAATATGTATAAATATGTACATATATGAATGTACCCAGTACCCGCACACACACACTCACACTCAGAGACAGAAAGGAGGGCAGAGACGGCTAATTACCTTCCTACGCCTTGTCTTTACCATAAATTCACGAGCGAGATGCTGGATGGGTGCAGGTTCAAGAGGCCTTAGAACTATGCTCTTATCAAGTGGATCTCCAGGGACTATAGCCCAGTGATCAAAAACAGATAGACAAAATGCTTGCCCTTGAGTATGGTACCTCAAGTCAGTCTCAAATCCAAATGACTCAATCACAGGTAGAAATGCCTGAAAATCCAATTGTTCAAACGAGGTGTGAGGAATTAATATTATCGAATGTCAAGCAATATGCATTTAGCATGTAACGATTGTGCAGCAGATACGAACCCACTCCCCCAACCCAAAATTATCTAGCTCATACATTAATCAGCAAATTATTCTCTCATGGTAATCAATAAACCAACAGTCACAGAAGTATTTTCTATATACACTCAAGATTTGCTTCCAAACCTTCACAATATAAGCTGGTGTCCCTGGCTGAGGCACATCAGCTGTAACATGTCCACGCCTACGGGACAACACTGTATAGATAGCAGAGACACAGTCGATTGGTGTCTGTATCTGAAACAAACAACAATAGCATTAATTACAAATCTAAAGCACAAGTCAAATTCATGATACTTGACACAGTTGAAAAGATTTAACAAGATATCCAAAATGGATAAAAAAACATCCAATACAAGATATAATGAACAAGATGGCCCACTCCATCATGATGAGAAGAAAAAGCAATTTTACCCAAAAACCATTTTCAAAGAAGAATTTATGCAATTAAGTAAATTTAAAAACGAGCTACCCGTCAGCTTTTAGTTTCATATGCACAAACTATCACATCTGCTGTTGCCACTTTTTTTACCTTGACTACATTAAAAAGAATAAATTTCTTCTTAACCCCATCCAGTCTTCCTTGAATTACAATCTATCTTAATATAATTAAAATATCAAGTACCTCCACATAATATACTGGTTCCATAAGTCGAGGTGTTGCCATAAGGAAAGCTGAATAGGCTACACGTCGAGCTGTTGGAATGATCTGACCAGATCCCCGATTCAATGGTTCAGGTGCAATCCTAGCATCCACAATTTTGAACTTAACATTTCTGATTGGCTCATCACAGAGAGGTCCTTCTCTAGCTCCCCACTGAAATCTGTTGCACAATAACATGGAATGCTTAATTAGAGCCAGGAGATAAATTATGAAAAGAAAAAAGGAGGTATCAGTTTCCCCTTGAAAAATAGTTGATAATAAAGTGAATAATCATAATAAATAAATAAAGTTTACCCTTGAACAATGGAATCCTTGACAGCACCCAGCAAGCCCTTATCAACTTCAGTTGGGAGTGTGTCATCTAACAAAATGTTAGGTCCCTGCAATAAAGAGATTTGATAAATAATAGCACTGAGAGATAAAAATGAAACCAATAAAATTTCTCTTATTTTACCTGCTTATCAGGGCCAAATGCCCATATAGAACGTGCGGCAAGCAAATCCCAGTCATATTTTGTCTTGAAGAAGTCACCAAGTATTTTTCGACTCCAGTCAATGCTTACAACACCATTTTCAATGTCCTCTGCAAGTCCTCGCTCCAGGGGCTCAGCAATCTTAAAAGCAACAGCAAGAAACTTACATACTCAATATACTTCAAAAGAGAAAGAAACCATGTTTCTTAATCACAACGGAATCAAACTAATATTGAGAGCTCTCATACCATGGTTATCTTATTCTTCTTGTTGGGTGTTTCAGCAAAACACTTCATTGATGAAGATTCCACCACTGTTTCACAGAATGATACAACAGGATCTGCCACCTACAAATTCAGTGAAGCATAAAAGGTAAAAGCAGACCAATAAACACATAAAAGAAAGGAAACTGAAAAGATAAAATATAAAGCTATATGAAGTTTATGAGAAGGTAAAATACCTTGACTTCCACCTCTGAATAAAGCTCTCTAAGGTCCTTCATAATTGAATCTAAGTACAACTCTCCAGTACCTAAAATAGTGTGCTCACCAGACTCCTCTACTTTAGTAATAGCTAGAGGGTAACTTTTGCTAATCTTTCGAAGCCCCTCCACCATCTTGGGCAACTCACTTGGATTTAAAGGCTCAGTAGCAGTTTTCACCACAGGAAGGGTATTGAATTGTAAGGGTCGGAATATATACACATCCTCATCAAGATCAACATTACACAGGGTGGCAGTTTTCATTATTGATGCATCAACACCTTCAATGAGGACCCAAGAACCTGGAAGGGCACTGCTTATGGGAATCCTATATCGAGCTTGATAAATCCACAGTTTAGTTACTTCTTTTACTGTCATGTCTTCCTCATCCTCTGGTGAATAGCCTTCTCCCAGTACTCGCACTGTTTGCCCTGTCTGAATTTTACCACCATAAACCCTACCAAAAGCATCAAAGACACTACAATCGGACTTGGGATACAATTTGGTTACATTGACCATGAGGGGGCCAGATGGATCACAATCCACCATGGCACTGTAAATCATAGAATTTTTGGGTCCAGTGTATATATGATCAATCTTCCTAGATGCAGAATCTTTAGGAGAAGGTATGTGTGCAACCAGCATATCAGTGAAGCCTGAGGCTGATCCAAAAACAGAACTGCAAGCCAGCCTTAACAAAGGTCTGACATTCAACTTGTATGCAGCATTGCTAAGAGTCACACCCAATTCAGCAAGTGTCGCCTCCACACTCTTCCTATGTTCCCCTATCACCTGGCTATATATTTTATAGAGAGGTTCCAGGAGAAATTGGACAAATGATCTTTCTCCTCCACTTGCTGGAGGTTTCCTTTTGAAAGCCCTTGTATCTGGATGATAGTAAAAATCTCCCCAGAGACGAGATGCAAACTTCTCAGAATCAAATGGAATCCCATGGAGTTTGACATAGAGTTTTGCAAATGATTGCAAAGTGAAGGACCATCCTGCACTTGCACTTGCAAAACAAACATTTCCAGCAGCTGGATCAATAACTGGAACATTCCCAGCAGTTGTTGATGCTGCAGAAATATGGTTATTAATGACCTCCAGTGTATGCCTTAGCTTATGGTAAGCATCCTTTGGGGGTAGTTTGAGTTCAGTTATCAGTCTGTCAACCTTGAAAAACAAATAAATGTATAAAAAAGAATAACCAATAGACCAGTGTTTGATACAGGATAATATCTGAAGCATCAACTCAAGGAACTTACTTTATTGATTACAACTACAATAGGCAGGCGCTCCTGTATTGCATGGCGTATAGCCCTCTCTGTGTTTACCTGCTCAAGACAGTATCATAAAGGAAAAACACCAAGCTCCATCATGTTTATATACATTCTGAAGAAATCTATATTATGTTAAAAGGAAGGCAGTTTGAAGGCAATTAATAAAGCAATTTCAAAGTGATTGACTTAACTCTTACACAGAAGAACCATCACAATATTTGAACTCAAGCATATATTTCCTTGAAAGCCCAAAACAATTGACTGATCATTTAAAAAACCAAGAGAACCAATATACACCTACCATCACTCCTTCAGCAGCATCAACAACCAAGACAGCACCATCGGCAAGCCTGAGAGCAGCAGTCATTTCATCAGAAAAATTGGCATGACCAGGGGTGTCCATGATGTTACACAGGTATGATTTTGAGTTACTATCCTCAAGCACAAGTGACATTGGAATTGCCTTGATGGATATCTTTCTTTCTTGCTCGTCAATCCTTGTATCTGTGTACCTCATGTGCTTCTCACTCTTTGCATCAAAAGTGGACATATGGTGGGTTTGTTCAACAAGCATATCCATAAACACTGTCTTTCCATGTTGTAAATGCCCCACAAGGGCAACATTTCGAACCAGAGCCGGATTCGACATCAAACCAATCAAAAACTGGGTTGAAACGTAAGTCGAGGAGTCCTTCACTCCAACCTCAAACTTGATGTTCTTAACAGGTTTAATAATGGGTTGCTCAAGAGGCAGCTCATCTTCATCCATAACCAACGTCTCAACATCCTCGCCATACACCTCTTCAGCAGTTGGGTAGTATTTCTTGTCCTCAGCAAGAACAATCTGATTATCCATATCAACATCAGTAGAGGCAGTTATCCACCCATTAGAAGCACCAGGTGATGCCTCACCATCAGATTCTGCACCATCCTCTACGTGCTGGTCTGGGAGGTCCTCATCTTCATCCTCCCCTTCGCTCTCTCTATCAGACTCTATTTCAGGTCCAATGTAGTTCCCAAACTCATCATACAAATTGTCATCCATTTTGCAAATTTATTTTGCTTCCTAAATCCGCAACATGTAAGCACAATTAATTTATTTACATTAAAAAAAAAAAAAAAAACAGAAACCGAATTCTAGGGAACTAATAAACTTCTAACTTTCACAGATTTGGATGATATTTTCCTTCTAATTAATGCTCGATTCATAGCAGCATAAAAATAACAAAAAAATAAAATAAAATTGAAAACAGCAGAAAAGCTTTAGCTGAAACCTCGAAAATTCATCTTTTTTAGGATTAAGTAAAAATTAAAGCTATAGAAATCAGTTTAGATTTCTATCGTAGCACATAAAAGTCTGTTCCTCCTAATCACCAAAAAAAAAAAAAAAAGGGAAAAAAAATACATCTGGTTTGCTTTGTGCATAGCAAACAAATATGAAATCTTCAAAAGGATGTAAAAGAAAATGCTAAAGAAGAAGATGTACCTGAACTGAGCTAGGTTAAGCGGAGCAGGAAGATATGAATCGGAGCAGTGAAGGCGATGGAAGGGTTTAGGGAGCGGGAAAGCTGCGGTCAGTGCGTCGAGGAAACATAAAGCACTCGCCCCGAGTACTCTCCATTGATGTCGGAACATGACGGCCTGAGCTAACTGGGCCTGACCTAGACATGAGACTCTTGGGCTTTGGATTTGGAGTTCTGGGTTTCCCCCGCCTCCCGACCCATCTTAACTTTTCCCTATTTTCTAGAAATAAAAAAAGAGACAATCTTCCATTTTCTCAATTTATCATAGGGTTACAGAACCATCACAATTTCACGAAAGAAAAATGGTAAATATGGACAAAAATTTTGTCCCAAAACACTACCATCTTTACCTTTTTTTTTTTTTTATACATCAAAAAATTAATTACTTGACATAATAAAAATTTAAATTTTATTGATTCTTAATTAAAATTTTTAAAATTTTAAATTAATAACTACCGATTCAAATAAATTGTTCATTCCTTCCAAGATATTTCGAAAATAATCCAAAATTTCAAATGCACGCTGAGCTACTCATAAAAGGAAAGGAATCACAATGACGAGAACCATTTCTCACTGATTTTTTTCTTTTAAACCCCCTAAAGGAAAGAAAAGAAAAAACCTTAAAAAAAAAACAAAAACAAAAACAAAGACAAAAAATACGAAGTTCTCAAAATGCGCCTGCCTTTGCATTTTAGAAGTTTGACTATGTTCCTGTGACTATATGGTTTCTGATGAAGAAGGAAATATATAGCAACAACAACAGCCAGCAAATACCATGGTTTCAAAGATCATTGAGTCATTTTTTGTAAGCTTTACAAAGTCCGAGTTGTAATTTGCAATTGGCGTGCGTGTATGTATTCTACTTCATGTACTCCAGCACACTCTGGGTGATATCTTCAAGGAATGTTACAAAACCCATGACACTAGCGAGGCCACTTCCATCAACATCCTGCTCCTCAATAAGATAGTTCTCGAATGATGTGGCATCATCCTGCCCTCCACGTATGAATATGAGTTTGGGAGTAATACTCCGCTCTTGCTTCAATTTGTTAATTGTAGTCCGCAGTAAACCTGAGAAGAACAGGGCTCAGAATGCAAGGCAAGACCATGTTCTTTTCAACTCTAAAGAAACTAGTAAAATAAAATACAGCAAAGAAGCGGCAAATGATGCAGAGAGCTTACAATCATGGGGTGGAGGAAAAGGCAAGCTAGGGTCTGCTGTAGAAGAGTAAAAGACAATAAGAGTTGTAAATGCATCGAGGAGAAATATTGGACTACCACTGGTGATCAGTGCAGCACGACTCAATGAGTGTC